ACATGCCACTGACGATGTTCGCCCCAGGAGGGGGAACCTCGTCAACGTAGGTGCCTGTGGACTTCCAGGATGCCATCTCTGCGTCCATGGCTGACTGCCACTTAGAGGAGTAGGGACCCTCTATCGCCTCTGCGTAAGAGCGCGGGGTCGGGATGTCTGGTGCATCCGGGTCTCCCTCAGGTGCAATCAGCATGGACACGAGATGAGGTACAGTGGCTGCAAAGCACTCAAAGTCCTCCTGCTTGTCCTCAAGGACGTCCGTGCCAAGAGCACACTCACCCCCGACGGACGGAGGACAGACAGACTCAGACTCAGCAACAAGACTAGCAACGTAGTCTAGACGACAGTGAGCAGCAAAGTCGACAAGCTCAGCAACTAAGGCAGACGTAGCAATGGACTCAAAGGAAGGGTCAGTGACAACAGTGGCCAGGAGACGCGTGACAGTAGGACTGACAGCACGAAGAGAGTCAGACTCAGGGTCAGGACCGTCAGCAAGGGAGGACGCAGGAGGAGACGGCAGAGGGACACGCTGTGGTGCAGTGGACGGACGAAGTGCCATCTGGTGCGTGCCGGGGACAGGAGAAGGACGCTGACACGGAACTCGACGACTAGCACGAACAGTGCGAACGGGCGACTCAGGACGAGACGCAGGCTCACGACGCTCAGCAAGACCTCCAGTCGGACCAGTGTTAGGAGAGGGAGCAGGTAGTGGGGAGGCAGGCTGTAACTGCAACTGTGACGGGACAGGCGGCGGACACTCTAAGGGAGGAGGAGGACCAGTAGAAGGCGGGAGACCAAGAACCTGCTGAAGGAGTGGAACGTAGTACGGCCGCGGCCGCGCAGCGCCTCCAGAACCAGCAGGGACAGCACCAGCACCCCCAGCGTCAGCTCCAACCCCAGCAGTACCACCAGCGTCAGCAGTACCTCCAGCTCCAGCACCCCCAGCAGCTCCAGCTCCAGCAAGGCCACCAGAAACACCAGCAGCTCCAGTAGCGCCAGGGCCAGCACCTCCAGCAGCACCAGCTCTAGCAGCACCGCCAGCTCCAGCAGCCCCAGTAGCACCAGCTCCAGTAGCACCGCCAGCTCCAGCAGCCCCAGTAGCACCAGCTCCAGCAGCACCACCAGGCCCAGCAGCTCCAGTACCTCCAGTACGAGCACCTCCGGGCCCAGCGGCTCCAGACCCCCCAGTAGCTCCAGCAACAGCAGGACCTCCAGCGCCCGCAGCACCACCAGCTCCAGCAGCACGGCTCCAGCGCCGAGCAAACCACTCGTGCAACTGCTGCGGGGAGAGCGGCTCCCGACGGAACGCAGCACCTCCAAACCCCACACGAGCAGGCTCAGTACCCTCAGGCTCCGCACCTCCAGACTCAGCAACCCCAAGCTCAGCACCCCCAGTCTCAGCACCCCCAGGCTCAGCACCCCCATGCTTAGCACCCCCAGGCTCAGCACCCCTAGGCTCAGCACCCCCAGACTCAGCACCCAGAGGCTCAGCACCCCAGGACCCGGTACCCGCAGGCTCAGTACCTCTAGCAGCACCAGAGTCAACAGCTACCTCGACAGGCTCGACTGCGTCTACCTGGGACACACCTGAGGCGGCAGGACCCTGAGGGGGGAGGGGGTCTACCGGGGGAGGACCTGGCGTGAGGAAGAACGGCGGCGGGGGGAGGGGAGCAGTGCGGTAGGGGAAGAGACGGTAGTAAGGAACCGACTCGTCAAACGTGACGTCCTGAGAGGACAGACCACGGCGTGAGGTGGGGTGGTAAAACTGCCAGCCAGGCGCGTCAGGGGGGAAGCCAAGGAAGACGCAGGGAACAGCACGGGAGGACAGCTTGTCCGCAGACAAGTCGCGGACAAAAGCTCGAGATCCCCAGACACGGAACGCAGACGCATCGCCAACCTTCCCCGTCCACCACAGAGTAGGTGTGGTCTCCGGCACAGAGACCCGGGCCTGCAGGTTGATCTGATGCGCCGAGAACTGAACCACGAACGGCCACAGAAAATGGGGAGCAGCTGCATGAATCATGGACGTACGAGCGACGTCCATGACCATGCCAATGCGGCGCTCAGCAATCCCATTTTGCTGCGGAGAGGCCGGAAGCGTGAACGTCTGGCGGATGCCCTCGGCCCGACAGAAGGCCCGCAGAAGGTCGGAGGAAAACTCTCCACCTCTGTCGGAGTGCAGACGCAGAACAGGAAGGTCCGAGCTGAAACTCTCGCTGAGCTGGCGACGGGCAGCGCGGATCCAGTCGATCAGCACCTCAGTGACCTCACCCTTGCGGCGCAAGGGGAAGAATTTGGTGTAACGCGAGTAGTCGTCAACCACCAGCAGAAAGTAACGCTCGTGACCCTGTCCCTGGACGCGGGCTGGGCCCCACACGTCCATGTGAAGAGTCTGCAGGGGAGCCTCTGTCGGAGGAAACTCGGAGGAGTGAGGAGCGGCGCGCTGCCGCCCCTCGACACAGGGAACGCAGGTAGGGGCAGGCCCCGGGGGAAGGGGAGGGAGAGACCGGGGAAGACCAGTGACAAGGACACGGGAGGCCATGCCCCGGAGACGAGGCAGGGAGGGGTGACCAAGGCGGTGGTGCCAGAGAAGAGTCTCGTGCGACAAGAGGCGACACGAGCAGGGGGCAGACTCAGGACCAGACCGGGACGCGGCTGCAAACACCTGACCAGACGCGGCTACCTGAGCAGACGCAGCAACTGGAGGAGACACAGTAGTCAGGGTGTAAAGGCTCGAGCCAGGCTGACGAGTGAACATGGCCAGGTGTCGGCCCATCCGAGCACACGTACAGTGAGTCACTCGCTGACTCGCAGGCGTGAACTCGTCAACCCCGCCATCCTGGAGGTCAGCTCCACTCACCAAGTTCGTAGAGAACGAGGGGAGGTAAAGGCCTTACAGCGAGCCAGACGGGGCGGCCGGACACGGCAGAACGGTGGAGTAGTGGGCAAGGATTGGACCCCCAGAGGGGTCAGCCAGGGAGATTGCAACTGGCCGACTAAGCGGCGTGAGTGTGGTGCAGTCGCGAAAGAAGGAGCGGGAAGCCCCTGAGTCAAGAGTGAAGGTGTGCAAGACCGCAGCAAGCGCAGCACCAGAGAGAGCAGACTCACCAGCACCTGGAGCAAGAGACACACTAGCACCTAGAGCAGCAGCCTCACCAGCACCTGGAACAGGAGACGCACGAGCACCTAGAGCAGCAGCCTCACCAGCACCTGGAGCAGGAGACGCACCAGCACCTAGAGCAGCAGCCTCACCAGTACCTAGAGCAGCAGACTGGATACCGGGGTCAGGCAGCACATACAGGTGAGAGGCACCCTCGGCACTAGTAGACAATGCATACATGGCAGTGAGGATAGCATCATAGTCAAGAGCAAATATATCTACCCTCTGCCTAAGCAGCTCCAGCCAGGCGGGGAGCTCAGCGTCGTCGCCAAACTCTGTATGCCAAGCGTCGCTCAGACGGGAGAAGCAGCGGGACTCCGTGTGACTAACCGTCCCGCAAGTCTGACCAGTCCGGACACCTGTGCGAATGACGTACGGGCAGCGAGCAGTACTCCGTGACCCTCTACTCTGAGCGTACAACTCACGAAGCTGCTGGGGCGAAAGGGTCTCGCGCGGACGACGCTGCAGCTGCACCTGGCCGCTACAAGAAGCTCCCGAACTACCCACTCCAGGACGACTCCCACTACGGCCACCCCGACAACCCCAACTAGCGTACCACTCACGAAGCTGCTGGGGCGTGAGGGACTCACGCTGACGTCGCTGGAGCTGCATCTGGCCACCGCCAGGAGCAGCAGTAGCAGCAGTAACAGCAGTAGCAGCAGTAGCAGCGCGGCCACCCCTACAACCCCAACTAGCGTACCACTCACGAAGCTGCTAGAGCGTGAGGGACTCACGCGGACGGCGCTGGAGCTGCATCTGGCAACGCCAGGAGCAGCAGTAGCAGTAGAAAGAGCAGTAGCAGCAGGAGCAGCAGTAACAGCAGTAGCAGCAATAGCAGCGCGGGCAGGGCAGTGCTCACCAGTAACGAGAAGGGCAGGCGCACGATGGCGGCGACGGCGGGGCCGCTACCACTGGAAGGCGAGGGCTCTGCGGCAGGTGCTGAAGGGCGGGGCCGCGACTGTGGCAAAGGGGGGGGCGGCTCCGCGGCAGCTGCGGAAGGGCGGGGTAGGTCCGCGACGGCCGCTGCTGCAGGGCGGGGCAGGGCCGTGACGGCAGCTGCTGCAGGGCGGGGCAGGGCCGCGACGGCAGCTGCTGCAGGGCGGGGCAGGGCCGCGACGGCAGCTGCTGCAGGGCGGGGCAGGGGCGGCCATCCGAAGGGCGGGCGCGGGGTAGGGCAGAGCGCCGCGTTGGGCAGGGGCGACGCCGCGCGGGTCCCGCAGGGGCGTCGCGACGAGCGGGAGCGACGCCCGGGTCCCGTTGGGGCGTCGCGACGCGCAGGAGCCGCGCCTCGCGGGTCCCGCAGGGGCGTCGCGACGAGGCGGGGGCGACGCGCGGGTCCCGCAGGGTCGTCGCGACGAGGCAGGGGCGACGCCCGGGTCCCGCAAAGGCGTCGCGACGAGCAGGGCGACGCGTCGCGGGGTCCAGGGGCCACGCCGCGGGGTCCAGGGGCGGCTGCGTGGGTGCAGGGCGGGCCCGCGCGCGGCCTGCAGGGCAGGGCGGCAGGGTGGCGCTCGAGGGCGCGGGTAGGCAGGCGCTCAAGGGCGCGGGTAGGCAGGCGCTCGAGGGCGCAGGTAGGCAGGCGCTCGAGGGCGCGGGTAGGCAGGCAGGCGCTCGAGGGCGTGGGTAGGCAGGCGCAAGGCGCGTGATTCGGGCAGGGCAGAAAAAAAAAGTTCGTGGTGGGCCCTAAAAAAAAAAACCGGTCCCACTAGGGAACCTGCTCTGAAACCATGTAAAATGATAGGACAAGGAATGATTGAACTAGCAAGGAGGAGGGTACAAGTAAGAAAACCTAACAGTGTTGTACCCCATATAGTCTACCCCACTGCAGCCTACACAGACTATGTCATATATGTTTGACATGTCGCGTTACTGCCACTGTTGTGCCGTTGCTGCCACGCTGCCCCTTACTGCGCCCTGCTGAGCGCGCTCTTTCAGGGAGCTGACCCGCGTGCTGCCCCTCGCTGCCGCCCACAATGCTGCGCTGCCGCATGCGCATCGCTACCGCGCTGCCACCTTTGCTGCCGAGCTGCCGCCCGCGTTGCCGGCTGCCCCACGCTGCCGATTGCGCTGCCGCCTGCACTGCCCCGCATTGCCTCCCGTGTTGCCCTGCGCTGCCGCTCGCGCTGCCGCCCGCCCCCACTGCCGCCCGTGCTGCCGCCTGCGCTGCCGCCTGCAGTGCCGCATGCCTTGCGCTATCGTGATGCCGCCCGCGCTGCCGCCCGCGCTGACGCCTGCGCTGGCCCACGCTGTCGTCCGCCCACGCTACCGCCCACGCTGCCGCCCACCCGCGCTGCCGCCCGCGCTGCCGCTCGCTGCTGCCCGCGCTACTGGCCGCGCTCCAGCCCGCGCTACCGCCCGCGCTGTCGCAGTGCAGCCAACCGCGGCCTGTGCCGCCGCTCGTCCCCGCATACTGCCCGACGCCCACTGAGCGAAGGCATGAGCGAAGAATATATAGCGAAGCTAGCGCGGTAATGGTAACGCGAGAAATTGGGGTGCGCTACGGGCCTAGCGCCAAGGTTGGGTGCCGTTGAGGCAGAGGTCCGGAGCGCGGGTTACCAATCGAACCGTGAGGTTGGGTCGCGAGGTGTACATTGGCGGGAACAATAGTCGAGGCGAGTGTCGCGAGCGGGTAACGTTTTACTGTTGGGTGCTGTTGGCGGGAATAGCCATATACGCGGTAAGCAGGGGCACGAAGTAAGATAAATGATTTTTTCTTACACTACCCCCATCCCCAAGAAGGCCCTCCTTACGAGAGTGCATGTACATCCCAGAAATTGCAGCTGCGGAGATACTCGGTGAGGACGGGGTGGTTTTCAATTATATTCAGGGGCACCCATATGTTCTCGGTGGGCGTGCGGTCCTTCCAACTAATTAGGAACTCGATCATGCGAGCTCCACGTGGGTCACGAACTCGGTGGCTCAAGATTTTCTCGGGTGTGATTACTAACTCTGTTGGCAGTCGTTTCATGCTGGCTGGGCAGTTGCGAGGCAGTTGGCTGACGTACCAGTCAGCAGGGAGGAGGACGTGGGCAATGACGAATGTGATCTTGTGACTTATTCGAAATGGCCCGCAATATCGTGGGCGGAGTTTCGGAGAAATGGGTAGGCAGAGGTTTTGGGTGTCGAGTAACACGAGGTCGTCAGGTTGGTAGGTGACGGCGCGGCGGTGGCGATCGGCGTTGCGTTTAGCGATGATGTTGGATTCTTTCATTTCGTCTGCTGCTCGGGTCCGGGCTGCCTGTAAAATTTCTGCAACTGTTGCGTGCGTGGTACCGGGTTGTCGGGATTCGGGGTCATGGGCACTATTTGTCAGATTTATATGACATAGCTACTGTAGGCTATAGTGGGGTAGCACATATGGGGTACAGTTTTCTAGGGTTTACATTTGTACCCAACTTTCCCTTAGTCATTCTCATTCCTCGTTTCTTCTCATGGTATCGAGCAGGTTCCCTAGTGGGAACGATTCCTAGGGCCCACCACCACGAAATTTTTTTTTTCCTGCCCGGAGCGCGCTTCGCTCCGGCCCGAGTCGCGCCCTGTGTGCTCTCCCTACCGTCGCGCCCTCGCTAGGCCCCTCACGGCCCCGTCGTGTCGCCCTTAGCGGCCCTCTCACGGCTCCCTAGCGCCGCCCTTACGGCTCGTCGCGCCGCCCTTACGGCCCGTCGCGCCGCCCTTACGGCCCGTCGCGCCCGTCGCGCCGCCCTCACGGCCCCTCGTGCCGCCCTTACGGCCCGTCGCGCCGCCCTTACGGCCCGTCGCGCCCGTCGCGCCGCCCTCACGGCCCCTCATGCCGCCCTTACGGCCCGTCGCGCCGCCCTTACGGCCCGTCGCGCCCGTCGCGCCGCCCTCACGGCCCCTCGTGCCGCCCTTACGGCCCCTCGTGCCGCCCTTACGCCCCCTCGCGCTACCCTTACGGGCCCTCCCGCGGCCCCTTCGGCCCCTCCCGTCGCCAGTCGGCCCCCCCTCGCGGCCCCTCGAGCCGCCTTCCGCGGCCTTCTCACGGCCTGTCGCCGCCCTCGACGGCCCCTCGTGGCGCCCTTCACGGCCTCTCCGCCGCTCTTCGCGGCCCCTAGCGGCCGGCAGCCGCCGTCCCTGAGGCAGCAGCCGCAGCCGTCTCTGCAGCAGCAGTCGCCACAGCTTCTGCGACTGCTGCCGCGGTCGTCACCAACCACACCAGCCGCCGAGCCGCCCAGCAGCCGAGCACCCGAGCCGCCGAGCCGTCCTGCAGCCGAGCAGCCGAGCCGCCGAGCCACCGAGCCGCCCAGCAGCCGACCGCCGAGCCGCCGAGCCGCCCGAGCCGCCCTGTCTGGTAAGAGCAGCGCCTCTATCACTGCACTGCCCTTACCCTACTGTTCACACTGCTAGTCTACTGCTGTCATGGCTACCCCTAATGTCCTCGCCTTTGACGCTGAGGGTCGGGCCATTGACTTTGACGTCTGGGTAGATGACCTGCAGCTTTTCTTACAGTGCGATAGGGCAGACGGTCTCTCCCTCTTTGACCTCACCTCTGGTGCCTCTCCTGCCCCTGCTGCTGATGCCGACGCCACTGTTCGCTCACAGTGGGCCACACGCGATGCTGCTGCACGTCTAGCTGTGCGTCGCCACCTGCCTACCTCTGAGCGTGCGCACTTTAGCCAGTACAAGAGTGCTCACACCTTGTACGACGCTGTAGTTGCGCGCTACTCCTCCCCTGCCACTGCTGCACTGAGCCGCCTCATGCTACCGTACCTCTTCCCTGACCTTGCTGCCTTTCCCACAGTCGCTGACCTCATTACGCACCTCCGCACTAGTGACACTCGCTACCGCGCTGCGCTTCCTGCTGAGTTCTGCGCCAAGAACCCCCCCCCCATGTACATCACCCTCTACTACATAGTCACCCGGCTCCCTGACTCCCTTCGTGTAGTCAGGGACCACTTCCTCTCAGTTTGCCCCACCACTCTCACCGTTGACCTCCTCGAGAAGGCCCTCCTAGCAGCAGAGAAGAGCATAGTCGCTGTAGGAGCCTCTCGTGGTGACCCTCGCACCCCCGTCTTTGAGGGGTGTTCCCCCTCCCCCCTTTTGCCCTCTGTTGCCTCTGCTGCTGCGGCCGACCTCGTTGGTCTCGAGTCGGTCGGCGCTGCGTCTGCCCCGAGCGGGAGACGCCGCACCGGCAAGGGCAAGGGGGGCAAGGGTGCTGGAGGGGCTGGCGGGGGTGGCGGAGGTGGCGGTGGCGGCAGTGGAGGGGGTGGGGGTGGTGGTGGGAGTGGTGGCGGGGGTGGAGGTGTCGGTGACGGCAGTGGAGGCGGAGGCGGCGGCGGCGGTGGCGGTGGGATCGGAGGTGGCGGAGGTGGCGGCGGTGGAGGAGGCGGCGGCGGAGGAGGTGGAGCTGGTCGGGGTGGTGCTGGGCAGAGGGTCGGCTCCGGTGGTGGTCAGCGCCAGCAGCAGCAGCGGCAGCAACGCACTCGTGACATCCCCCCCCCCTCAGCAGCTCCGTGAGTGGTACGCTGCACGCCAGCGGGGTGGGGGTACTGGTCCGTGCACCTACGTCCTACGCACCGGCGACCGCGCGGGTGAGCAGTGCGGGGGTGCGCACTCCACCCAGCGCTGCTTTGGCCGCCTGACGGACGCTTGGTGTCACCAGTTCCCTGAGGCCACTGAGATCCCCCGCTGGGGCGAGCTGTCTAGGGCGGGTGTAGCTGTCTTTGACCTTGACTTTGATGCTATTCTTGCTGCCATGTATGATGTGACTATTAGTGATGAGGGTGACTGTTACCGGTGTTTTCCGCCCGACCCGGGCATTGAGACTGCTGCTCTAGGTACTGGTGAGGCTGCTGCTCTAGGTGCTAGCGAGGCTGCTGCTCTAGGTGCTCGTGCGTCTGCTCTCTCAGGTGCTGGTGTGTCTGCTCTCTCAAGTACTGCGTCGGCTTCGGCCTCCCACACCTTCACACTTGACTCGGGGGCTTCTCGCTCCTTCTTTCGAGACCGCACCACACTCACGCCGCTTGGCCGGCCAGTTGCAGTCTCTCTGGCAGACCCCTCTGGGGGTCCTGTCCTTGCTCACTTCTCCACTGTCCTCCCGTGTCCGGCGGCCCCCTCTGGCACCCTGTCTGGTCTTTACCTCCCCTCGTTCTCTACGAACTTGGTGAGTGGTGCTGACCTACAGGATGCGGGGGTTCACCAGTTCACTCCTGCGAGCCAGCGGGTGACCCACTGCACGGACGCTCGGACCGGCCGACACCTGGCCACGTTTACACGTCGGCCGGGGTCGAGCCTGTACACACTGACCACTGCGTCTCCTCCAGTCACTGCGTCTGGTCAGGTAGCTGCGTCGGGTCAGGTGTTTGCTGCAGCGTCCAGGTCTGGTCCTGAGTCTGCCCCCTGTTCGTGTCGCCTCCTGTCGCACGAGACTCTCCTCTGGCACCACCGCCTTGGTCACCCCTCCCTGCTTCGTCTCCGAGGCATGGCCTCCCGTGTCCTTGTCTCTGGTCTTCCCCGGTCCCTCCCTCCCCTTCCTCCGGGGCCAGGCCCTACCTGCGTCCCTTGTGTCGAGGGGCGGCAGCGGGCTGCCCCTCACTCCTCCCAGTTTCCTCCGACAGAGGCCCCGCTGCAGACGCTTCACATGGACGTGTGGGGCCCGGCCCGCGTCCGTGGACAGGGTCACGAGCGCTACTTCCTGCTGGTGGTTGATGACTACTCGCGTTACACCACGGTCTTCCCCTTGCGCAGCAAGGGTGATGTCACTGAGGTGTTGATCGACTGGATCCGCGCAGCTCGTCTCCAGCTCAGGCGGATCTTCGGCTCGGACTTTCCTGTTCTGCGTCTGCACTCTGACAGAGGTGGAGAGTTCTCCTCTGGCCTTCTGCGAGCCTACTGTCGTGCACGAGGCATCCGCCAGACCTTCACGCTTCCGGACTCTCCACAGCAAAATGGGATTGCTGAGCACCGCATTGGCATGGTCATGGACGTCGCCCGTACGTCCATGATGCATGCGGCGGCCCCCCATTTTCTGTGGCCGTTTGCGGTTCGGTACGCGGCGCATCAGATCAACCTTCACCCCAGGGTCTCCATGCCGGAGACCTCCCCAACTTTGCTGTGGACGGGGAAGGTTGGCGATGCGTCTGCGTTCCGTGTCTGGGGATCTCGGGCGTTTGTCCGCGACTTGTCTGCGGACAAGCTGTCCCCTCGTGCTGCTCCTTGCGTCTTCCTTGGCTTCCCCCCTGACGCGCCAGGGTGGCAGTTCTACCACCCCACCTCTCGCCGTGTTCTGTCCTCCCAGGACGTCACGTTTGACGAGTCGGTCCCCTACTACCGCCTCTTCCCCTACCGCACTCCGTCCCTCCCCCCGCCACCGCTCTTCCTTGTGCCAGGTCCCCCCCCGGTAGACCCCCTCCCCCCTCAGGGTCCTGCCCCTTCAGGTGTGTCCCAGGTAGACGCAGTCGAGCCTGTCGA